ACTGACTGAACTAAATTGTGACTGAACTGAATGTAGAGGCAGTCCTGGTCGTCTGTTTAAAAGCAGCGGAGTGGAACAAGACATATTGTTGAATGGGTTAAGATGTAAACGACAATCAATTGCCGTTCAACCTGCTATGTAGCTGCTTCTTTTGTTCTGCTCCCAGTGCCAGATCATGCTTCTTAGCTTTCTAATTACTTACAAAAGTTTCGAAATTTTCTGCTTGTGTCTGTTCTTTGGTCGGGCCACATTTACTCCTTAATTTTTTTCTGTTCCAAGAGCACCGTTTTGTCATACCTTAGCATGCTTGATTTTTAAAGAACGGACACATTTGAAGCCTTTATATATTCAGGTGATGATTAACACTAATTGATTAGGTTGGGCTTGTTCCGGGGCTAGTTAAGGCCGCCCTACACTGGACCTCGCATGCGGGTTGCGAGCTTTTGGGTTTTCGGGTTTATTCCCAGTTAAAGGATACACTCTATGTCAAGTTACCCACACCTGACACCACCATGTTAACAAGCGAGTCTGCATGGTTTTAGCATGCAAAGCCAACTTGCATCGCATTCCAAAATTTGATTTTGAGTCAACTTTCGATTTTTCTCGCTGCGAGGGCTGAGAGTTTTGGTGCTTTTTTGATGAAGCCGAATTTTGGTTCGTTGTGATGTTATTGCGATAGTACGCAATTTTTAGTGGGTGTACCGGCTTCACTGCATTCATGTAGTGACCATAATAGAATGATTTAATCACTCCATGAATGAGTTTTATACTCGCGAATCCAAAACCCGCAGACTCGCAACCCGCATGCGAGGTCCAGTGTGGGGCGGCCTTTAGACGGATATCCAAGAAGTGCAAGCACTCACTAATTTCGTTCAACTAATTGACTTTGAGCTCAGTATTCATCTCATCAGTTTCAGTGCAAATTCACGGCCACCTAAAACTTCCGGGCTAATGGTCCGACCCGCTCACGACCTATCGCATTTGCAATCCGTCCTCTCAGCGCCTCGCTGCTATGCAGGCACCGTCTGCCGCGCTCCCGCTGGTGGTGCCATTTGAATAAGTGATACGGCCGCGACTCGGCGCCGGTCGCGGCCGGCGACCGGTCGGCGCGGCGCGGCGGAGCGGGGATTGGGGCCGCGACAGGTCAGCAGTGGCCCAGCCTCTCGGCCCAGGGCGGAGCTCGGCCGCTGGTGCCGTCGATATGCCGTGGCCGAGCTGGTCGCACTGATGTGGATCAATGTATCCCGCTCGCGCCTACTTACGCTGGTGGTACGCGTCTCACGTTAGCTACCCCACGCCCCACGGCGACGTCTTAATTTTTGGAGCTGTGTGATATCCATGCTCCAGCTCGGTAGCGTCTATAAAAGCCGCTCCGCTTGTTTGATGGAGTCTGAATACATTTGTTTTTAAATCGTTTTCAACATGTTTTTGATTGCATTGCATATTTAACTCATTATGCGACTATTCTATTTTGTATTTTCTGATTTCTTTGTTGAAATTGGAGAAAATTTATATTTTTGCAATGCATATTCACACATCCTACATGCCTCAAAACGAAATCGTTATGTATTGCATTGGACTGGTAGCTACAAAAATATGTTGACCTATATCCGAGTTTCGTCTCGGCGTCATATTGATTACGCTACCTGAAGTTACCGAACTTGGCCCAACTATCGCTATATTCTGAAGGTAGCAAGAACTTCTGTGATTCAAGTTTCGAGAAGGGCAACGCATTTACCTTATGCTACAAAAACTGGAGTAAAATATAGATTATAGTACTTATTTCATAATACACAAATATGTACATTGTAATTAGTTAGGTATAACTGACGCCTTGAACTCTAAACTGCTGTGGTTGTTCAAATTACTCAATCTAAAATTCAGGAAGCTCGCAACTAGTGTGTGGTCTCAGACCACCACTGTTAAATTAGGTCCATCAGCATCAAACGAGGGACAGATCTGTCATTGCCAATTGAAAGATAAATCTGTCAATGCCAAGTAAAAGACAAATCCATCAATGCCAGCTTGGGTTTAGCCATGGTCGTGCCACACGAGCGCGTGAAAGCCCAGCCCGTCAGTCTATGTTGTTCCCGCAGTGAGTCTTATTTGTGCGCCAGTCACAATACATTGCGACAGGACAATACAAATCACTGCAGAGCGGGGCTAACAAAGTTAGCTGGCTAACGCTGCGCGCCACTGCGGCGCTGGCCGCTGTGTGAGGACAGGCGGACACCGTATCACTCTGCGTCTACCACAGGAACCGCCAGTCGGCGACGTTATAGACCCGATTGTGGCCCAGTATATTTCCTAAAGGAACACTTCGTTGCTACTGATGAATTCTGCTAAGGGAGATAGGCTTTCCTTAGAGGTATGCTATGCTTTACAGCTAGTTTAAACTACTCCTATCGTTAGAGTATAGTTAGAATTGGAATGGATGCTGCAGTTGTACTCCATGGCAACGGTCCACTTCACCCGTTTTAGTTCACTTATTGTTACATTAACCTGTTGTCTGAATAGCCTCGCAGAATACATAAGCAGCTTAGTAGCACCTTCCGATTTTCATTTTCATATATGAAGGTAGATGTGATTTGATAAGAAGTATCTGCATAGATAAGAATTCGACAAAAAACGCTAAAACATACATTTTAAACCGTGCTAGACTGAATCTCCAGCCGAACGCCATTGATTGAGGAAGGGGGGGGGGCGGACAACACCCCCCCAAATCCTCTTCGAAACTATACGTCTTAGCGGAACACGCGAAGTGGCGTTGGAAAAGTCTCACTGAGACAGGCAGCGTTCCTGAAATTTTTAGGATTTGATGTCACGTGACTGATTGTCAGGCCAAATGTCAAAACTGAGCATATTAGCATTAAGGGCTCTGGTGAACGCAGTGTCGAAGCCATCTAGCCCAGTTTTGGATCGAATACGAACAAAAGATCAATGAAGCTATTCCGAAAGTGTTGAACTCATATTAAATATTTTTCGAGGTCAAGGTCAGTTCAAAAGGTCACGCATTTTAAAAGTAATATAAATAACATAGTGACACATGTCTTCTAGCAATCTTTTGCCATAGAACTCAACAAAAGTATCGTAGGTGCTATTACGAGATCATCTGTAACAGTAAAAGGCGAAGGTCACTGGTCAGGTCAGGATCAGGCAAAAGAAAGTCCAATCGCGCGATTACTTCTTGAGTTACCGCGAAATGTCGGCAGAGGCGTTAAACGCCCCCTCACTCGGTCAATAACAGATTAAGAAGCACGATAAACATATTGTGATGTTCACTGGCCCATTAGCAGACCGATCGCCCGCTGTTGGGCTGATCAAAGGGCGGCGTGGACGTAAAATGATTGGTGTCAGCAACAGGCGTTTGTCGCTTCGGTTTTAAATGAGTTTGATTACGATTCTGCCGTTTATACGGTACATAATACATATGCTTCAGAATGTAGTGATAAGAAATGCCAAGCGAAATACGACAGAGACATTGGAGGTGTTGGAAACTGTCATAACTGAGTGTCTTCTTTGTTTTTTGGAGAGAAGCCACAATCTGCAATCTGCATGTATAAAATTTTGATCTAGCCCCGTATTACACCATGCCTCACTGCGCTCGACGACAGAAATTATGCCAGAAGTAGCAAATAATTCGTTCGTTATTGGGTACGAGTTAACCCTGGGGCGGCCAGGGAAACGATGCATTTCCCAAAATAAGTTTTCATGGGTATCATGTAAAGTGGTGACGTAAAGCGCATCTAAACATGCAGGCTTAAAAAGCATAAGAGATGTGCGCTCCTATTTGTCTTTCCCAACTTTAGTGACATTCTTTTTATATAACTTATTTATGCTGCACTGATAAGGTTGTTACTAACACGTTGCTCAAATTTCTCCATTTGAGGTTTTTATATTCAGGGTTGGAGCAACTAAGCCTAACTACTTAAATATCACCAGTGTTTCTTTTGACCAGCTGAGTCGATCGAATGCTTGCCACTAGATGAAGAACCTACGCGAGGCCAATATCAATTATTTACTTAGAATTATTAAATTCAAGTTCAATTAATAATAAGGTTATTTTTTACTCAAATTTATGAAAGCTTTTCAAAATCATTTAACAGTCGACACTTGGCATAGCAATAAGATAGATCATCAGATGAGCATAGGCGTAGCAAACAGGTTATGCTTTTGTCATTTCTATTTAGAATTCAATTTGGAGTCGGCAACTCTCCTAAATATGGAACTAGAGCCACAAAACGTCACCGTTATCATAGTATTAGTGTCACTCTCCCTACCGGAAGATTTGATCGCGTTTACTAAGATGCCGTAAAAATGCAATAAATTGGACCTAATTGATCGGTCGGAAGGTTATGTGCCACATTTCGGATATTTTATAGGACGCACTTCCCATCACAAAGAAGCTTTACCTATCTCGGAAAGTGGCTGGCGGTGTCCCTGAATGTGAATTTAGGTCCTTGCGGGACTGCCAATTTGTCAAGTAAACACCAACGCAGCGCTGTTTACTACAAACACGATACTCGATACGACGCTCAATGGGACAATTGACTTCTTCATATTTTTTTACATGATTAACTGGGATCTATATCAGCTCACAGATAAAGCTCCCACATATCGCGATCAACTTTCCAGCTATGCAGCAACAGGTGCAATCCTATAGTTAGACTATTTGGTTGCCCTTGTATTATGTTAGGTACCTATACCAATTTTTATTCATAATCATTACGGAATAGGTACATCTATCGTTATAGTTTGGCTCTGATTTCATTTCACTTCTAAATGATTACTGTGGCATTGAGCTTGCATTTGGGACAGTATTTTCATATAATACGAGTTAGTACAGCGGCTGGTAATTTGAAGAGTACCTAAGCCTGGGTCTACTTAATTCATTCATAATGCTTATAAGCCGGCCGGTTGACAGGTGTCCCATACGGCCTTGGGTGTCCCTACGTGCCATCTGTTGATTGAGGCGTGTCGTCATCGCACGGCTGTCTCACCTGGAGCTGCCCGGGTCACAGTCGACATGATGAGCGCCCAGAGGACTCGGGCCGTCCTCATTTCTGCTTGGCAGCGCTCCGTTGTCAGCCGGGACCCACCGGAGCTCACGGCTGAGCACAGCTCGTCGGTGTTCACCGGAACTCACAGATGAGCACAGCCTTTCGGGGCTCACTGGAACTCACAGGAACTCACAGCTGAGCACTGCAGCTCATCGGTGCTCACAGTTGAGCACTACGACTAATCGGAGCTCACATAAACTCAGCTGGGCACAGCTCATTGCAGACCGCATTTCACAGCTTAGCGGTACCTATGCACAGATCTTTCGAGACTCGCCGTAAATCAAGAAGCCAATGCCGTTCATTTACACTCGTTTTAACTGCCTCCAGCTCTTGTGCTTCCCAGCTTTTTCTCATTGCAAGGATATGAGCACCTCTCTTCCATCACAAGTTTTTTCCTGTCTTCGACACACCGTCGAAGCTAAAGTCCTCTGCGGACTGTAGACAGTCCTCAGCAGACCACGGACCGTCCTTCTCGGACCTTCTTCCACTGACTCCGGCGTCTGCGTTGTTCCTCGTGTCGTCGCGCCCGGACCGACCGCTTCAATGCGAACTCGTCTAAGACACAACCATCGGGTCCGCGGTGGTGTCACGTTTCCTCTATCACGCCCGTCACATAGACGGACTTTGTCACATTCGTGACTCAAATGACCTTCCGCAACACCCGGAGTGGAGATCCTGTTCGAGACTCCCTGAAGTTCCGCACCGCTCAGAGCTGCCCGCTCCCTCCCTCCGGAAAGCACGTCTTAGCAGCACACACGTCCACCGTCGTAAGAACGAACGTCGGCGGCGCACCACCAATACCCCTCCTACCCACGCATGGGGCGCCGCGCCACTGAGCCGCCGTCAGCCGCCGCCGGCGGTCGTCGGTGCCGATGAAGGCACAGCGTCGAATCGACGGGCCGACCGGCGCCCGATCCCTGGAGAACTGCCGTGGAAGTTGTCATGATTGCGTTGCTAACTTGTGAAGCGTGCTCCATGGGCGAGCTGTACGAGCGCTTCGGTGGTCTCAGAATGATTGACGTCATGAGTCTCGAAGGGATTTGTAGTTTATACTGCCGTCAGATGGGGAGTATAAATGAAGTAATGTGTTCTTTACAACACTGATGAGAACGAGACAGTTTGCTTAGAAACCGCAAGGACCATAGCACAGTAGACAAACCTGATAACGCATTTGTTGGGGAGCAAGATCAGACCCAACTAAAAGATTTTCAGCTCTACATATGTCGTCACCTTGTTCCGATAAATCGCGGGAAAACGTCGAGTGGAAATAGTCCCCTTCTTCGTCCAGGGAGGGCAAAGGACAAATTTGCTCACTTGAAAAAAAATAGCATCGCGGGAAAACGTCAACGAGTGACAATAGTCCCCTTCCTCGTCCAGGGAGGGTGAAGGACAAATTTGCTCACTTGGAAAAAATTAGCATCCCGACAAGTTTTACAGCTCAGGGCATGCTGCAGTGTCTTAGAACCTTCCAATATAATATTAAATTTATCCGCGAAGGGCGGCTGCCGGCTACTGCCTAATTTCCATTAGTTCAAAATAATGAATAGGTATTGAATTGCCCTAAACAGTGGCATTTTCATCCGCCACATGCACACCCGCCTCATGTTTCACAGCGTTGCCTGGCTCAATGCCGGCCTCAGTGAGGTTGGCAGGTCCCGCCGCCACTGACCGGAGCCGCTGCCGTCCCGCACCACGGCGCCCATGGGAGCCAGATGACCTCCGCTGTGCCGGCGGCTGCCCCCGGGATCAGTTGGTAATAATGTGGGGACCATTGTCTGAGCTGGGCCACCGCCCGGTGCCGAACCTCGCCCCAGAGTGCGGAGCGCCGTCTCCAGAGGCTGGTCCTGCGTCAGAGGTGGGGTGTGCGATCACTCCGGTGCATCCCATCTGTTGCGAGGTGCTCGGATCGGTCCCGCGACCACTGAGACGGAATGTTACTGACGCAGTCTGACCCACTCTGCTGCTGTGTAGCGTGCACTGTTTTCTGGTACGTTGTCGGCGGCTGTTTCGATGTGTCGTCCCGTTCGGCGGCACCAATAAAATCGCACCCTGCGCCCATATCGGGTGGCTCCCGATGGTTTCCACGAAAATTGAATCGTCCAGCCGACGTGGCGTCGGAACCAAGTTGACTCCAGACAAAGGCAGTTGATTCTGTGGTCCGCCAGCAAAGTATGCCGAGCCACTCCGCCGAGTAGAAATCTCGAATGACTAACTTGCCGGAAAACAATAAACATCCCGCCAAGAGCAAGACAAATTGGCATAAAATGCGTATTGCTCATTGCACAGCAGCGTCAGCCACGCGGCAATCTGTAGCGGCGCACGGCAGGGCGGTGTCTAAACCCGGGAAGGAGGGTCGCGGAGTTTCCATTTTTCTTCCTCCCGGCTTCTCGAGACACACCGGCTGTCGCTCCCATCCATCACAGCATCCGACCAATAAAGGCGATATGGTCTGGGGATGGTCGAATCTGGTTACCAGGTCGACTAATGCGGTCAGCAACAGATATTTGCCGTGCTCTCCGCCTCTGATGTCGATGGTGGTTACGTTACGTACTAGGTAGGTAAACACACGAAAAATTGAATTGCTTACCGAGCGGTATCTGAAATGATTGACACTGTTTTATAATGGTGCTAATCTCCTCAACTTGCTGTAACCTGATCGGCGACCCTACTTCGACGTTCAACGTTTCATGACGGCGTTTGGGGCTAGGCCGAGTTTTCCGGCACAGTCTGCTTACAGGCGTCGACTGCTCCTGCCATCTAGCGGCAAGACCGGAAAGGTTACGTGCCGCATGGGCGCAGTCTGACCGAGATCAACTAACATCCTAATGCCAAAGTGAATGCCGTCAAATTCTACGGAGTGGGATCACGAACATCTGTAGTCGCCATGCCTTTCATGCCACATGAATCAGGGTGCTGTTATTTGAACTTCGGATCCACGTCCATTTTCCAAATTAGTTCTGATTAGTCCCAGTGCTTGTATGGCGATTGGCCAACACTTCTAACGAGCTTACTGGCTATCTGGGGTTTACTGCAATGTGTCGTTAAAGTGACATAGGTGAAACAAAGAGCCTTCTCTCTAGAGCCGATTCTCACGGCGAATGGCGCTTAGTCACTCAGAATCAGACACAAAGAACTCGCCTGTAGAATTGCCGCCTTGATGCGTCAGAGCCGTGCATTAAATCAGATTTACGGCCATAACTGGCGTGGTTACATAAGGGATATCAGCAGATCAGCAAACGGAAAGGCGTTAGAAATATTGATAAACCTGAAATCAGACTAACACTCAAATATTTGTACCGTCTCTGATCCGCTTGGAAGCTAATGCAGCACACTATCGTAATTCATCACGCAGAGCGCGATAACTGAATCCGAAGATAAACACGTTCTCTGGGGATTAGCTGTCTTCATTAACCCTTGGCAGCTTAACGTCATACATGTCCGTAGGACGCCGAAACTTCGGCGCACAAACTGTTTGAAGTTTCACAAACCGGACAGCCGACACGTGTCAGAAACCCAAACAAAACAGGGGATAATCCATTACCGACTATCGCACGTCAGAATCACACGGGGGAGTTACAAGCATGAAAACGGGTTGCCGCACACTGTCTGGGGCAGTATTCTGTCACAGCCACTATTCATTCAGGTATCTCTGTCACAAAATTACTGTTACAAAAATCACCACACTTCAAACTATCCTGAAATTGGCAGGGTGAAAACTCAAAGCGCACACGATATCTCCCGTCTCCGAGACGATTCGTCCAGTCATCAAACATAGGATGAGCATGAACAATTATCAAAGCGACAACTCATCGAAGTAGCCCTGTTTGTCGCTACACACTCCGAGACTTATTCGTTATTCCTTGCATTTAGCGAGCAAGACGAGATCCGTGTCTTGCTCGCTCGGTGCAAGACACGAACCGGCCAGGACGGTATGCGGGGCACGGGGTCTGCTCAGTTGGTGCCTCCTCTTAGTCCTTCTGTCCCGTCACTGACAAGTGCCCAACACAGCTGTGCAGCCCGTGAAGGCAGCATAAAGTCGGTAGCACAGCCCGAACAGCGCGTGCGAACCAGTCCGGCCAGCGCTAGCGAACTAGCTCGACGCCAGCAGCGCAGTCCGACCAGCACTGACGAGCCTGCCTGGCACCGGCAGTAGGCGAACCAGCCGGTCAAACAGCCCTGACAAACCAGCCCGGCACTGGTAGCACCACCAGACCACCGAGCCAGCGCGGCGCTGGCAGTTTTAGTCTCGACCGACCAGCGCTAACGAACCAGCGCGACGCTGGCAGAAGTCCCCACCGACCAGCCAGCGCGGAGCTGGTAGCTGGCAGTCTCGGCCGACAAAGCAGCGTCCCTCCACACCGCCACACCCCACCAGTCGCCCTCACGTGTTCCAATAGTGACTCTGATTCAGATCAAGCCGTAGCGCGCGGAACACCTTATCGGAGAGTAAGCACCAGGGGTAGCCGAGCAGACGGCTCACCTCCGCCTCGGTACGGCCGTACGATCGGGCGGCGGCGCGCAGCCAATCGTAGAACTGCGGCGACCACTCGGGGCTGCGGGGCCAGTCGGCTCGCAGGAGCACCGCGTTGGCACGTACGAACAGCCGGCGTAGGTTCTTGCCCGTGTGCGCCAGAAGGAGAACGGTGGCAGACGATATGCGCTCCCGCACCACCTGTGGGGGAGGGGGGGGGGGGGGGGTGAGACGGGACGACACGCACACGGACGACGGTAATAGAGCACAGCCGGATGTCTGGTAATAAAGGACGGGCGAAGGGAGGGACGGGTGCGGACAGGGATTGAGATGAGGCAACACAGTTCATATTTGCTGTGCATGTTCATCCATAGTATTGACTGGACATGGCAACAGAGAATGACTAGCATAAAGAATGGTCAGCATGATATAGAAAGGTAGCAAAGAAACGCAAAACAATAGTGGGGCCCGCTGGTAGCAATATCGCGACTGATACAAATGTATTGTGTACCAATAAAGTATCTCCCACCATTCCGCAGAGTGCGTCTACACACAAAACAATGCTTATATAAAAGCCTACGAGACAAAATCCCAAACCAATCCCATTTCCTGGTATGTTCATAGGTATCAGTTCTACGACAGAAATAGGCTAGAGTATGCACTGTGCCAAGACCGAGCAGCTCATTGGGCTGCTAGGCACTCTATGACAGCGCCATGTTACACCATTCCCTGTAGGACACCAGAGTAACCCCTCCCCGCCGCTGCGGTCTCACCACTCACCAGTGTGTGCACCAGCGGACAGTGCCGCAGCAGCATCACCAGAGCCCCGTCGGCACGCTCGTGGAAGCTGGCACTGCGGTGGAAGCGCGGCAGCCCCAGGTGGCCGTACACCTCGAGGTCGGTGCCGTAGTATTCGATGGTGGTGAGAACACTCACCGCGCTCACCTGCCGCGGGGGTGAGAACGGGGAGAGCGGGTGACGACGGTCCCGACTGAACTGGTGAGAGCGGCTGAGCACAGTTGAGATCGGATGAGAATTGGTAAGAATGGGTGAGCTGACGGGCGGGAACGGGTGAGAATACATAGGTGAGCGGCACCCGCCGGACCGGCCGGGTGAGCTCTCGGTCTCTTGCTCGGCTGGCGAGGGTAGAATCTGCGTTACCAATCCCATCCGTCTTCTATAATTCCAGGTCACGGACGACGAAAAACCGGCCACCGAGGGTATTGGCGGTCAACAAAATGAACGAGCAGCCACAACAGCCACTCAGGCAATTCACTTAACCACGACCCAATTTAGACAAGCAACAAACACAAACCTTCCCCGCCCCATCGCCCGCTTCATCCCCCTCCTCTCCCTCCCTCTCTCCACTCACAGCGATGTACGGGGAGCGATAGAGGATGGACTTGACGGGCGCGCCCTGCTGCCAGATGATCTCCTGGTGGCGCGGCTTGCCCTCCAGCCGCAGGTGGACGCGCAGACGGGAGTTGCGCAGCCGCGCGTCCCGCCAGCTCCGGCGGCCCACCGAGCCCGTCGACTCCGTGTGCTCGTTCTGAATCTAAAACGGGCAGAAAGGAGTAGCCTAGTAAAACACTAACCTGAACTTTATTTTATTCATTGAGCCATAAAACA